TCCGGTTCGCCGGTGAGGTATAAGTGGACCTATCTGGGACGCCGGTAGGGTTTAAGTGGACTCATCCGGTACGCCGTGAGGTATAAGTGGACCTGCAGGGATTAAGTGGACCTATCTGGGACGCCGATAGGGATTAAGTGGACCCATCAGGACGCTGATGGGGTATATATGTGACCTACTTGGGATGCCAGTAGGGTATTTTGTGAAATCTTTTGAATTATGTACTGTAGTTAAAAGTGTTATAAGTATTTCAATTACTCGGATTATACTTAATTATGCAATTATTGAAAGTGAAACTGTTGATGCATTTCTGTTAATAGATCTCATTTTGGAAAATATTGATATCTTTCAATCATGATTATTTTTAGGATTATGATGATCACTTACTGAGTAGCCAAACTCATCAAACTATGATAAACATTTTTCAGGATAACTGCGGTTTCCTTTTGAGTGCTAGTCAAGATCAACCTTAGAAGATACTGTTGTTGTGCTAGCTTTCTTTATTTACTTTGTAAGACCTCGCCACTGTAAATTTGTCCTATCAATAGATGTATATATGTTGTGTCTGTCACATCTCCGAAATGACAGTACTGTAAATTCTTGGGGTGTGACATAAATACACCATATGAATATCTTCATTAAATGTTTTAACAAACATCACACCTACCTATTTAGTACATACGAAAAAAAAAATACACAATATAAATTTTCACATTAAATAATTTAACAAAGATCACACCTACTTAAAAACAACCCAATAAAAGTACACCATATAAATTTTTGCATTAAATACTTCAACAAATATCGAGTCTACTTAAATATCAACATACCCAAAAAAAGGCACAATTTTCTTTTACAAATATCAAATCTGCTTAAATATCAACATACCCAACATACACCATATAAATTTTCACTTTGAATACTTCAACAAATATCACATATACTTAAATATCGACATACCCAAAAAAAAAAAAGGTACAATTAAATATCAACAAATATCAAATCTACTTAAAATATCAACATACGCAAAATCTACCTAAATAACAACATACCCAAATCTACTTAAATGGTTTAGCAAATATCAACATACCCAAAAAAGCACAAATTTTTTTTTGTTCATTAAATGCTCTAACCATGGTTTAGTCATTTTATAACTATGGTTAAAAATAAGGTTTTATATTCTTGTTTTCATTTAAAACAAATATCGCTGAAAATAGGGAGACGCCTAAAGACTACGGGTAATCTCTGCTTCCTTCAAAACAGGGAGAGGCCCGGAGCTGAAAGGGAAGGATGGGCTGGAGCTGAAAGGGAGAGTATGGGTAATCTCTGTTTCATTGAGAACAGAAAGAGGCCTGGAGCTGAATAGCTGCTCCATTGAAAGCAGGGAGATGCCTGGAGCTGAAAGGGGAGGATGGGCTGGAGAGGATGGGCTGGACCTGAAAGGATTAGAAAATGAAAGGGGATTTCTATGTTAGAAAGAGAGGGGGTTTCTATGTTAGAGAGAGAAATTGAAAGGGGGTTTTATCTGGGGGAGAAATTGAAAGGGGGTCTTTTGTTAGACAGAGAAAATGAAATAGAAATTGAAAAGGGGTTTTCTCTGTGAGAGAAATTGAATATGTTAGAGAGAGAAAATGAAATGGGGTTTTTGGGGTTTTTCTCTGTAATTGCAGGAGCAAGAAGATGGAGTTTTTTTTCTGAAATTTGCAGGAGCATGAAGATTATGAAATTTGCAGGAGCATGAAATTACGTTTACTGATTTTAAGATTTTTTTTTTCTTTTTAGATTTTGTATGCATTTAGGGATGCCCTAAATATTGAAGGTTTAATCTGATTATATCTTTTTTTTAATGTATATTTCTGTAATTTGGAGGAGTAAAAAAGTTTAATATACGCATATATTATTCATCACAGAAATCTGGTTTTTGGATCGATATGGTTTTCTTTACTCTGCATCTATATTATTTCTATACACAATAATTTCCTCTATAAATTTACAAGCAAACAATAGTTCATTTGCAAAATAACTACTGAGCATTGACACGTTTAAGTTAAAAAGAAAAAAAAAAAAATCATACCTTCAATCTGTAAATGAGGTTTTGAAGAAGAAGAACGTGATTTTAGCATAAACCCTAACAATACATAAATCAATTGGAGATCAAAATTTCTATTTTAGGATTTTTTTTTTTGAAAATAATATTTATTTATTTATTTTTAAATTACACATATCAGGAAAAAATTTGCTTGTCTTTTAAAAAAAACACAAGAAAAAATATGTTTTTTTAGGCCCGTTTAATTCGTTCTCCAAAAAAACATGTTTTTAACGTTATTAGGAAAAAAAACGTGTTTTTTTAAAGAATTTTTCAAAGAAAAGCCGTTTTTAAAGTTTTTTAAAAAATAACCGATTTTTTAAAAAATCGCCGATTTGCGAACTATGCTCTCCATTCGACAAACGAAACCTGAACCCGCGAGCACAATAGGCAGAGGAGTCCCCGCTTTATAAGGAGAGAGAGAGAGAGGAAGAAGATTCGAGAGTCGGCTATTGACGCGTTCCCACTTTCTCCCAAAATTTTTGTGTGAAGAGTCCAGCACCTAAATCACTCAGATTATTTTTAAACAGCCAAGATTTCATTAACACCAACCACACAGTCACGTGTTTCCAAAGTCCCATTTTATATTTGGGTGGGGTTTGTATGGAGCCGAGGTTCTAAACAATCAAAATTAACTGTACGTCTAAATAGTATCAAGAAATACGGTTTCAATACTTAAATCTCTGCAATAGCCTTAAAATATATTTTTATTTTTAATTATAAAATTTAAATCTCCAAAAATAATATAGATCGAGTAAATTTATGAAAATCTTGAAAATTGACGGTCCAAAATGCATTCTATTTCCAAAACTTGAAATCCAATGTTTTCTCATGTCCATCCATCTTGATATCGAGATGATCAATTTGACGATATTTTGACATCAAAGCAAATGAAATTTGTATATGGGTTCTAATTTGATTGTTTAGAGCCTTGGCTCTATATAAACGTTGTGCTTTACCTAATACCGGCCGGCGTCACGTGAAAGTAGAGCGCACACAGTACGGTTCCGTGGGCGCATATTGTTACATCATGATCCCATGGGAGCGTATCATACGACTGTGTCCGAAGGATTTGATATTGAATAGACATAAAGTTCAAAACAAAAAATTTATTTGTAACTCACCCCAACTCATTCAATTCGATATTTAATGATGGAAAAAGTTTGTATAAGAATGCTACCCTATAATGTTGAACTACGGATACCTCTCAAAAATCCATCTGAAAAAGTAGTTTTAATGTTGAAAAACCCTTTGATTGATCATCTCGATATCGCGATGTATGATCATGAAAAATAAAAAGATTTTAAGTGTTAGAAATAGTGCATTTTACAACATATTATCTACACCATTCATTTTCAAGATTTTCATATGGTTATATATCTACTTGATTTTAACTATTTTTGAAATTTAAAATTTTATAATTAGATATAAAAATAGATTTTGAGATAATCCTAAGAACATTTTACATCAAAATTATATACCATGATCAAATTTAAAGGTACCTCTACAGCCACATATGCATATGTATGCCAACTGCACCTTTTTTATATATATATATATATAGATAACCCTTTTTTATTGAGAATTATGGGACACATCAATCTTGCCCCACATCAATCTTGCCCCAAAAAGCTGGAGAGTTCCTGTTGATATTATTTTTTAAGCACATAGAGAATGCAATTCAAATTAAAAAAAATGTTTGAAGCTTACTTTTTACCCGAGATAGCGTTTTACCTGAGAGCAAATGGCCAAGGAAAATACTCCAGTGTGCCCTAGTAATAGTTTGCTCCCGTGGGAGCATGCTACACGCATCAAAGGTGGTGAGGGATGATGAATCACCGTTGCTTAAAAGAAAATATATGCAGTAACTTCATTGCTTAAAGCTTAATCGATCCACTTTTTCAACCCTACAATTGATCATCTTCACCTCGAAGTGTATAGATTGGGAGGCTCCGCTACCCTCATATACAATGAGGGCAAGTGAAAATGTAGTCCTGTCATCTCTTCTAGAATTTGTTGAATCAGATGGCTAGGTAGGGTAGTTGATGTTTCACTTCGCTCATTGAATTTATCTCAATATCAATTTCCAACCAAAGCCTACTCCCAAGCAAGAAAGGCATAAGTTGCAGGGTCAACAATCTCAAAATCCAAGCTGCAATAGCACTACCTGGAGCGCACTGCTTGGAACCTATTTGTTTAGGTTTTCTTTACTAAACAACAATGGCTTCTTTTTTCATTTAACTCTTAAACTCAAGGATGGGTTTTGGCTGTCTCACTCCAAACAAACACTTAAAAGCCACCTACTTTTATTAAACTACTCGTGCTTAGTTAGTAAGCTAATTTTCACATAGACCAACTTTGAACTCCAAAACTCCCATATATAAATGTTCAAGCTTTCCAAGCGAACCCAATTAATCCATTAAGCTTGGGTTTTGGTCCCAAATCCGGTTAACTTGGACCAAGCACAGGTCAAACTCTGATCCAAAATGAGCAGCAGCAAAAAATACCATAATTCCCTTCATTTTCATTAAATCTGTACATACAAGTCAACTAAAATACAGTATTTCAATGTAGCACAAAAACCTCACACCAGAGGATCCCTCCTCAACACAACTGAAAATACAGAGAAGAGGTCAAATACTGTTTAAAGTTTTGACATGCTCCGAGTCTCTAACAAAAGTGAAGCATGATGCACACTATTTCAACATGTCGAATGCCACCTCTTACACATCACTGTGGATATGACAGCTGCCATATATGAACGTTCCACAAACGAGGGTCATAGACACTAGTAAAAAACCACAGGTAAGGGGCAACTAAGGACATTTGAGTATTTTTACCAATTGATTCTCCTAACAACAAAGACTAAAAGAAGGCGTTAAAAGATATTCGGTATCCAACTATCCCAGCTGTAAAGCTTAGAAGTGTCTAGGGATTAGGTTGAGATTCTTGAAGAGTTGGGGCATGAAAATGATGATGATATTCAATATTTCCTTTTCCTTATGTAAGAATTTTGGGGGGATTGATCATGCTTTGCACATGCAATGGCTAAGAGGGTTCTCCCATAAATCATAGTTTGGAAAGGTTACCTCAGGCAAACCGGTTCTGGTTTCATGGGTGACAACCACATCCTCAACAAATGTTGCCCACCCCATGTATGGGTCCCCTAGAGACTTAGACATAAGTCCTTTGTCTGGTTTTATGGACTTCAGGCGGTGTCCCATATATCTACGAGAGCCAATTATTAGCTTTGCAAAGTTACCACCATGGGTCATCACGAAAACATCGGATTTCAGGCACACCAGGAAATCAAGGGCCGCAAGGCTAGTGACATGCGTCCTGAAATCTTTGAGCTCTTCTTTTGTGGTCAAGTCTTCCTTTGTAACCTAAAATTCCAAAAACAAGCAATCATATGCCAATACACATTGTAAGCGTATCAAGAAATCTTGGCACTTGCAAAACCTGTACCATATAACCCAATGGGCAATTGAAGCCATAGTACATTGGTTCATCACTGCCAATTGAACTGGCGAAAAAAAAAAATCGAGGCTGGGAGCCACCAAAACAAAAGCTGATGCCAGTGGTCAGATCGCTTGCTCACCATCACCATCAATCATTTTAATGGAAGGCGATAACCTAATGTACTTTGATTTTTCCTTAACCCATTGGAGAAAGAAGAATTTGGGGTGGCTTGCTGAAATGGGATAAATTTTTACTAATATTTAAATGGACAAGAAAAAAATACCAGGTTGGGGAACATGTTCCTGAGAGGAGCCATCCGGTTCTGACCACCATAAACCTGCCCTGAGGCCACATAAATTTGTGTTTCCTTCGGGTATCCCATAGCCCTGAGTATCACAGCCACTTCTCCTGGCTCTAAAGGGCAACGGCCCTCCTTTCGCTTTTGAAGAGACTGATGCCACAGGTGTGACCCATTCTGCAAACAAAACATAATCAACCCAAAGTCCTTTTGCGATTCGAATGTTTGCTCATACTTTTTAAGTGGCAATTGTGGAAAACCAGTTAATTTTTTATTCCCTTGCCCCCAAGTGTTTGACTTACTTTGTAGCGTCGAGGCCATTCTTTCTGCCTATATGCTGCCATCATTGCTTTCTCTTGTCTAGTACCAACAAAATCGCAGAAGGATAGCCCCACCATTCCCTTTTCAAATCTCAAATGAAGTGCCCTGTTCAATAAAAATTAGTTCATTTTACAAGTAGTTAAAGGTACACGTGTTACATCATTTGGATACAATGAATTGAAATTGATGCTAAATACATGTAAGGATTTGAACTGCCAGTGCGGTTCCGCATTCTCATAGTTAATCTTTCGGCCATTTCTTCAATTTCAGGCAGGAAACGTAAGGCATGGTAATTCACTCTACACCGAAGCCGATTTATTTCTTGTGGAACATTGTCATACCTGAAAAAAGTTTAAAATATTAATGGATAATGATTATGGTTGTCGTGAATTTGAAACTTACAAACACAAGTGCATTTGACAGCCCAAGGACTGACTCATCCATAACTAATCACTATATTTGCAATTAATCTCCATAACACTTATACTAGTCTGATAGGGAAAAATTTTCTATAAGGTTGCAACCTTACTTGTAGAAGATTGGAGTAATCTACACCATCCATTTTATTTGGATGGTATAGATTTGATACCATCTTAAAAGACATGACTATCTTAAAAGATGTGTCAAATTTACACCATCCAACTAAAATGGATGGTGTAGAATATCGCAACATTACTTCTACAAGTATGGTTGCAACCCTATACAAAATGCACCACCCTACCAAGTAAATTGTCATACAATCCATTCAGATACAACATATCCTCATACAAAGTATTCTACTAGAACAATGTAGTCAACTTACTTCACGATGAATTTAGTGATTTAAACAAACTTTGATCTAACTCAAAAGATGAACAAATAAATAGGATACTGGATCTCATAAAAACAAATATATTTGCTGCTATAGCATGTTTCCCTTAAACATCACCTTTGTGTACGCATGCACGCATGCATGCACACACACACACACATCACCTTTGTGCATGCATGCATGCACACACACACACACACACACAAACCAAGAAGCATAAGAAGCCATTTTGTTGGAAACATTTAGAGTACAAGTTAATCTGAAAGTAGCTAAATCAGTGCTTGAGATACAAGACTTACCCCAACCTATCAACAAAAGGCTTTAGGGCCATTATCTTCTTTTCCTTAATTCGTGGCAGGACATTGTCGAAATAAAATTGTGCAGATGCATACTTGGGGATATTTTTTATAGTCCGCCTGTCAATTATAGATAGTTAATTATAAGAATTTCCATACCAAAAAATAACAAAAAGCATCAACATAGTCGTAAAGATAATCCAAGGAACACCAGCAGAAGTTCAAGAGAACTGGGAGTTTTATTTTAAGGGGAATTTCCTCTACTACAGACAAGCCAGCACATCAACTACATAAATTGGCAGAAGTAAACAAACTAAAATGGACCACGGACTTTCAGAAACTTCCAAGTTTCATCTAGCAGTCCATACACACACATTACACATCTGAATGGCTGATGAAGCAGAGATAATTTAAGAAAAACGACAGAAGTTAAACGTCCAACTTATAATTGGATTATTAACAAGCTAAACCAGGTATATATATATATATATATATATATATATATATATAACTAACT